CAGGATCAGGAACAACAGAGATGTCGATTTAACTTATTTGTGTTACCGTACACTTACTAGCGTTTAAGTTTAATATTATTTTGTTTCGATTTTATTCCTGAGCTTTGAGCATGTGTGCAATATTATCCATATTGAAAGAGATATGATGTAGGGATGTTGCTATAATGTGTATATTTGGGATTAAAACTTAGTAATACTCAATGCAAATGCAGTTGTAAGTTGTAATTGAAATCTAAATGGCGCGCATCCGGCGTGGAGCGCGGCGCGCATGTTCGCGCGAAGCGATATATTCAACTTTGGTAGAACACGCGCGGCATCGCTTCCACTATTCGTGCGGATCGAAAGCTCCGAGCTGGTGCGCGGTGCGTGTCGTGTGCAATTCAACAACACAGAAAAACTTTTTTGTACATCCAATGCAGTGATTTAAAATGGAGCAAACTCCGCCGAAACTATGCGGTGTGCGTCTTCGTTCGCAGAATAAAATTGAAGAACCGCCGAAGACACGGAGTGTGACTGTGGCAATCAAACGTGAAAGTTCCGATGATGATTTTAAGGTTGGTACGAATTTATATTTTTATTAAGTGAATATCGAAACAAATGTATTTGGTTTTTTTGTTTTTATTCGATGTTTGAGCGTGCGCGCATCGTCGTCCTCCGCAGAGGAGTTCCGCGGGTACCCTAACATGGTGCTCGGTAAGCCGATCTGCGTGCGGCAACGCGATACGCTGGGTATCAGGTCGCAGATGGTGTGGAACTGATATCCCATCAGGCACGTCGACGCAAATACACGCGTAGCCGAGAGCGAGAGCTTCGCGAGAGCTTTACTCCAGCGCACGCACACGTGGCGCACGCAAAACGCTCGAAAAACATTAACTACCAACAATATGCGCCAATATAATCAATGCCGCACGCGTAAATACCCGGAATTGTTATAGAAAAAATGATTTGTTTGTATGCGCGTTATTTTACCCTAGAAATTCCAAGAATCAAATAATTCGACATTTTAATAATGACTTGCGTTCCGCACACCTCGTGTTTTGTGTTGATATCTCCGAAATGCAAACAAAAAACGCGTTACAATGAATATTCATCAAAAAAACAATGCGCTTTATTTTATATTGTTAATTAACACATTTATATCGATAATTGACAACGTGTAGTGCACGTATTATCATTAGTTGTTGTCGACTGAAAGCATATCATAACTGTATCGCTTTTGTGTAATCCGAGAGCGTTACATTTACGAGCAGCGCGCAATTCATTAATTAATATTTACGCGGCGCGTGTAATTAATAACTAAAACTAAAAGTTTGCGCCTTCGTAACTTTAGCATCTTCACTTGTAGTACCTAATGAAACAATAAAACACGCCGGTATCAAAGTGTACACCGAAATGTTTACGAATGTTTCGATAAACATGATTATTTTGGAATGCGCGGTTCAAAGTATTTCAAAGCATCAACGTGAATCCGGGAGCAAAAGATGACAAATTGTTGATTGTTTTGAATAGTTTTGCTGTCGCCGTCGTCGCCGGCGAAAATAATCCAAAAAAGATGTGCGCGTTAGTTTAGCGTGTGCGTTTCAGCAGATGAGTACGTGTGTTTTTAGTTTTAATTAAAGGAGTTATTAATAGCGATGCGATACGCGAGAAGCGCGAGCTGGCTGCTCGGACGGGCGTCGACGAAATCGGATACGCGGTCGGTTCACGTATCTTGCGCGCGAGTTTGCCGCCGTCGTCGCCGCCGCCGCCAACGCCGACGCTGCGCAACAGACATCTCCGATTGCCGGGTGTCCGCTTCGCCTTTCCAGCTTCCGATTGCACCGATGCCAGTGTTAAATATTATATTAAATTCAACAGCAACTTACAAAATTCAATCACGTCAATTTCCAAATCACTCCAGCGTCAGATTTACGCATCATTTTCATAAGAAATTTTTATTTATTAAACTACATGTGAACATGTATCAATTACTTTTGATTTTCTCGTTTATACGCGGATACCTTATCCGAGATAGTATCGCGCGACGTATCCGATATCACAAATGAAACGAGATGCTCACTTTACACACAGCGCAGCGCGCACACAACGAATTATTTTACATAAAGTCAAAACGTTCGCAAATTTTTTTTTAATATCAAATATTTGCCTTGTAGGAATACGCCGAAACAGCCATGAACGAGCTGCTCGGATGGTATGGCTACTCAAACAACAATAACAAGCTCATCAATAAAATGCTGCAGATGAATTCCAAGACCGATGAGCATGATAAGACTGATAAGCCACAACAGGTGGAAACACGGCGATCTTCCGGTAATAGTTCCGAGACAGACTCACCGAAATCTGCTGGTATGTCCACGAAAAAAAACTAAAAAACAAAAATATGATTGTTTTATAAATTATGACGTCATACTTACTACTAAACTCGTACTGGTACTGGTATCATGTAATGCATTCTCCGTTTGATATTTATTTATAGACTCAACGGAATCCAATTCTGGATTAGCAGCATCTAATATTAGCATCACACAAATGTGTGTTGTGTTTTTTTTCCGGATTGAATATATTTTTTGCGTGCCACGCGCGCGCGGATTCGAAAAATTTAATTATGAACCCGATACAATGCAATTAATTTGCATTCGTTTTATATTCCGTTAATCAGAAATAACGAAACGAAGTAAATTGAGCAGTGTGAGGGCTGAATTGAATTAACGAGATATCAAATTCGACTGTTATTGAAATGATTGCGTTTTCATCCCCGACTCTGCACACTCCAATTAGTAAATAATGCATAAACGATGCCCTTCTGGTTGTAGAAATGTGTGGATGGTGTGGCAAGACTGTCGAGGACCCACCGGGCCTCTCATCGAACGATGCTGTCTTCTGTTCGGAGCTGTGCTTCTCGCAATCACGCCGGGCGAACTTCAAGAAGAATAAAACTTGTGATTGGTGCAAACATGTGAGGCATACTGTGTCCTACGTTGATTTTCAGGTATGTTTTTGTTTAAATATAAATTTGAAAGGTTAATAATGGTTTTATCGTGATTTTTTAGGATGGAGCTTCCCAACTGCAGTTCTGTTCGGATAAATGTCTAAATCAGTATAAGATGCATATATTCTGTCGTGAAACCAGGGCGCATTTAGAAATGAACCCGCATTTGCTTAACGACGACACCTCTTCGGGTCTGATCACTCCGGACCTCTGGATGCGTAATTGTCGTTCACCTGGTTCGAGAACTTCCTCACCACAACCTGTTATGCATGTGGATGAACCCCAAACAAGTCCTTTACCTTTAATCACTGTTGCTCATCCTTCTAAATTATTGGTCCCTGAGAAGACACCTCCACCTATGAAACGCAAACGTACCAAAAAACGTGCTGGTCTACCACCAAATAAAACCAGTGATGTGGCGCAGGATTTACGTGTGCGTCGACATCACACCTTCACTGAAACCAACACAAATCGAGATTTCCCTGAATTGGCCGCTAGACTCTGCGCAAATGGTCCTGAACCACGTGAGCAGACCATACCAGTTAATATCACAACAGTCCCACCACCTCCTCCGCCATTTCCACATCAAAGACCATTTTTACCTGCTATGGGAGTACCACGCGCAGGGATATTACCTCCAGTTACTGTAATGGTACCCTACCCTGTTCTACTTCCGGTTCCGGTACCCATACCAATTCCATTGCCGTTCAGCGCATTCCTACAAGCAGCCAATCTACGAAATACTCCTCTGACACAAAATGGCGCTCCACCAAGCGTTGAAGAAAGTGTCAAACACAGCGACGATGAAGAAATCGTCGTTGATGATGATTCCAGACTGAATACACAATCTACAAGTGGTGATCCAGTGGACACACCGCAAAACTCACCGCTGCGTTTACGAAAACGTAAATCCAGCGAGAATCCAAGCTACAAACATAAGAAATCCTTGTCGGTGTAGATAGTACATTTCCATGTGTGTTTATTTATTGATGTATGGTGCTGGTATTTGATTTGTATTTTAATAAAACTAACAATACAACGATGTTGGTTTTTTTAGACCACTTTATTGGCTGAGGCATTAATTGTACATTTATTATCATTACTTGTTTAATAATAATATAGTTTTGTTTGTGTATTTTTTTCTCTCCCACTTTTAGGTTCCTCATCGTACATCTCTAACTCATTCTTTACATATAATCATCAGAAAGCAATCATCACCTCATCACCGTCGACATAGATGAACGTTTATTACGTTTTTGTTGGTTTTAGTTTTATTCAATAGTCTTTATAATAATAATTACAATCAAAACTCGTCTTCTGGGTGCAAACAAGTTTCTCAGTTTTTTTCATCAGTGACGCAATTTTTTGTTTTATTTAACATAGAATCTCATCTGCTTATTTATTTAGGTAGGTGTGATCTGCATCACGTTCCCCGCTCACATTTTAGGGTTTAGGATAGAGCATAAGATTCCATTTTGCACACATTTATAGACCCCATACTCTTAATTGCAATAATAACATCATTCGAAACATCCTGTTATGCATCTCTTATAATGATAATGACGTTTTGATGTCGGTGAACGCTTTTTACATTTTGAATGTGACATGATCATGATCATGGCTCGATTTTTTTCCGAAAACAACCAAGATGTGAAACCGGACTAAACTAAAGGAATCTCGTCGGGTGGAAATATTTAGTTCTAGCTAAAATTTTAGGCAAATTTAGACTCTGGCTACAATTTTTGTTATTTTTTTTTAATTCCTGTGTAATCGGATGGGTCTATTGTTGAGAATCGAAATATTTGTACATTTTTGTTATTTAATTAGTACTTTCAGTTCAGTTTTCGTCGTTTTGTTAAAATTAATATCATAGATTAAAATTTATCAGTCAGATATTATAACAAATCGTTTTTTCATCATTTTTTACCGCGCGCGCCTCAAATGTCAACTAATCAAGTTATGTTTTCATCATTACCTCAAGTCACAAGTCTTTTGCATAGAATGAATGTAAGTAATTTACAAGAATACAAAAATAGTTCGTTTGTTTTTCTCGATGTGCGATTCTCGATCTTCGCCTGGGAAATTTCGCCAAACGAAGATCGACAATCGTTGAATGTAAGTGTTAGGCCGGCGAATGAAGAAACGAAAGGGTCAACAATTTGCTAATTCGAACAGATCTAAGTGTGCACACGTGTACATCATCATCTACATTATACAGTGTGGGCGTGTGAAAAATTGGTGCTTCATTGTGCAGGTTGTACGTGTCTAACAATCATAAAATTACCAATCACTAAACTACACATAGTTGTTTTTTTTTATGCAAATTTTACATAGATACAAATTGTGCGTTGTGCAATTGTGTGTGGTGGATGTGCATATGAATAAACATTGTATTTTAGACACTTATAACTTATTGCATCTTATTCATCGGTCGGAATGTGAAAAAACCGAAACAAAATCGAAAACTTTTTTTTTTAAACGCAAATTTTTTTTGATATTATATTCTTTTTTTGTTTATTACTATACGTTGCAAATTATTACTTTTCCGATGTGTCTCTTTCTCGTATTTGTACAAGGTGTGTAAGTAAGTAATTAAAATTAATTTTTATAAAGATTAGGTGTGGTTTTTTTGTTTGTTTACAAGACTAGACACGTGTTTATAAATATATTGTCTCTACTGTCGAAAAATATATGTTTCTAGATTATTATATATAGTACAGAGCAGACTCAGAAACCGAAAAATTCAGTGAAAACCTTCTTGCTTTATTCTTATTGTTTTTGTACGTATAAAAATAATTTTCGTGTAGCAATTGACGTCACCTTTGTTTTATTCTACGAAAATAAACTACATCTGCGAAATGAAACGCTTTTCCAACAGAAGTGTATTGACTTTTCCGGTTTTCCGGTTGTAAGAAGCAAGAAAGTTTTCATATAGAGACGTAAATAATTTGACTTGGTTACTTTTCACATATTTCAGAGAAAATCACAACCGAATTCATCAATAGAATTAATTAATTAATTAATTATAATTAATAACAATGCAAGAAGACTAGAAAAACGTTAAAAATAATGGCAGGATTTACATAAATTTCTTCATCGTTTTCATCAAATCCAAATTGAGAGCTTATTGTTTTTTACAAGTAATATATATATTTTTTATATATTTATATACTATCTATATAGACCTTTTTTATATAATATATGTATAGATAACGTAACATAATTGTTAATATTAAGTATATCACATTTATTTATCTTAATCTTATTGTTAGTTTTGTTTGAATCGCAAAAAAATCGAAAATCATTGAAAATTTCAACCGAAAAACAAACATTAATCATATTGTTATTATATTAACATGTAGTTTATATTTGGTTTATATTTGTCGACTAAATATTAGGTAATATATTTTATAAGGTGCCATCGGTGCAGTTTTGGTGGGTGGTGCGTGCATCTTATGTTAAACATGCGGAGATTTTTGCAGGAAAAATTTGCGCTGGTGGAGGTGCCGGGTGTGGGAAAGCAACAACTTGATTGACCCCGAAAGTATTGGCTTGCATTCGATGGGATATTCAATTAATCAGTCGCGAATGGCAAATTGATAAAACAGATCAGAAAAGTTGAAAGTTGCAGTTTGATGCCCCGAGGCGGCCGGGGCGGCGGCGCGCCAACGTTATTACACTGAAGCCGATTGATGAATGGTATTTTTATCGAAAACTTGCATCGAAAACAGCGCGGACCTTTATTTTCCCTCCGCCGCCGCCACACCACTGCCGCCCCTCATGCTGGCTGGCAAGTCGCAAGATGCATAAAACGAGGACAGGAATAATTTAGCAAGAGCAAACCAGGTTATTGACTCTGACCGATATATCTCCGGAATGCACGTACGCGGGACGGTAAACATGTCGGAAGTTTTCCGCTTTCCACTCTTACCATAACATCGTAAAATACGCGCGACGCGCCACGCAGAAAGGTACTAGATATTTACTCAACGCTTGTAATTATAATTATAAGTGCATTAAATCAATTGCATGCGGCACTCGGCGCAAATCGATTCGCTATTTTCGCGCACACGCGATTTCGATTCGATTTCGAAATCGTTTCTCAATAATTCATTACGCGGCAATTTGTGTTGTTTCTTCAATTTGCCACTTACGAGCTAAAAATATACGCAGATCGAATACAAGAGAGGATTTTCTTCTTTTTTTTTTTAGTGTAGGCCGATGTGTTACGAAGAAAACATAAAAACTAATTCGGTTAGCAATACAGTCAGACTTTTATTATGTGTGGTTTTTTTTTTCTTCTGTTTTAGTTAATTGATTAGTCTCAATTAATATCGGCCCCGAAACGCAATCGCCATACCAACTAATCTAGCAGAATAATGTTCAATCATTTTACTAATTAGTTAATGAACATGCCTGCTAATGAGTGTTGACTATTTTCGTCTCTGAATATTTCTTTTTTGCTTTCAGACTCATATGTAGCATATCAGACTTGTATTTAGAGAAAAAAAATCAATAAATTGGAAAATTACGATGTTAAAATTAATTTTTATAAATTTTTTGTTTTTTTTATTAATCTATAAATGTGTTTTATTATCATTTGAAAACATTTTATTAGTCTATAAAAAACCATCATGCTTAAACGTCTCGGTATTGAAATATGTCTGCGGATAGGCTTCGGTGGCTCAGGATGAACCGCATCTGTGCGCGGCCATCGCCCGATACCATCGACAAACATAAATTTTATTTTATTTTATTTATAGTAAGATTATAAGCACGATGGTCCAGCCTCCAAGACTTTGCATAAAAAGTTCCAAATGCACATGTTGAACACATCCAAATATTTTTTGCATTTTTTTTCTCATTTTTCGCTAAACTTGAACATCAAAACTAGAGATGTAGATCTAGATCTAATGTAATTGTAGATAGAATTGAATAATATTGTTTTACTGTGCTCGTACACGACTTTTTTAATGTTTATTAACGAGAAACATCGAAAGCACACTTTTTTTTTCAAATTTTTTTCCTTCTGTTTATTATATAGAATATTTTATACTATATTTTTAAACTATGCTAAATTACTATGAATTATTATAATAATTATTAACATTTGGATGGTTACTGATCATTTTTTCCTTGTTTTTCAATAAATTTTCAAAAATATTTTTAACATCGTAATTTTTTTTTGCTAAAAATTTACCTGTCCTGAAAATAGTTTCAAACACTTGAGAAAACATCAAAAAAATCAACTTAAACAATATATTGTTATTGGTTTAGTTGATTTTTTGTTATGTTGTCATTCTACACTAAATTGAAAGTTAAACAAAAACGTCATCACTTTCTGCATGTGTGGGCTTGCGTGTTAATACTTAGTCTTTGTTCTCACAAGTTAAATGTTCGCTACGCAAGTAAATATATCATGAAAGGAGTGAAAATGTGATGATAATGGAAAATATTTCTGAGAGGCTCTTGAAATGCTCGGACCTGACTAGACGAGCGCTTCAAGAGCTATCAAATTTTGCGTGTTTTTTTTTTGTTCTGGGAATGATGGTAATTTGGTAAGCGCTGAAGATCGATCGATGTTCCAAGTCGAAGCAGAGATAATGTTTAGTTTAATAATTTAATAATTGTTGGGGTTTTGTTCATCCACGCGCTTCGTATAGTTTGGGTGTTTTACATTTGAAATGACTGAAATGTGTCTCACATGTTCATCTCGCTTTTATAACCTCGTAAATATATAGTAATCGCTTACGAACTAATAAATTTCATAATATACCTTAAATGTTATCATTTCTCCTTCCATTTTTATGCAATTCTGCTTTGTGTATGTTGGGATGCTCACTTTCTCCCATATTTTGCATTTCTGTATGTAGTATACGTTTTATTCCTCGCCTCAACTCCAGCTCAACTAATTGTTTATAGTAGTCATAATCTCGCAAACGTCTTCTTTTAACGTAAACACGGTGAGATTGTAAATGCTGGGGGTTATCTGTTCATTTATAGTTTAACAAAATACATTATGTGTGTTGGGTGTGTGTTTGGTTGCGTGTATTCTGTCCGAGGGTTTCGTGTCGATTCAATAGGTGGCGCGGGTGGTTAGAGCAACTAACGCCCTCTCGCCCATCGTAGCAGAGCGTCCGCCAGTACATCCAGATGCGCTTTTGTCTGCAAAACAAAAGTTTCGAGGTTAATAGACTCCAAAAGAGGTTAGCAACGATTAAAAGAGTAAATGGCTGGAAAATTTTAATGGAATTATCATGTAAAATCAGCGCGCGGACGAGTCTATTATGCATAATGGGTCAAGACAGCCGATGAAAAAACATAATACAAGCGTGGGTGTAGAAATGTCGAACGATCTACGTTCATCGACTCGTGTACACGCGGCCCAAACTTTAAGTGCTCGCTGCTCACTTTTGGCATTCGCGAGATATGATAGAAGGGAAAAAATAGCCGCCGGCAATCGTTGTAGTGGCGTCGTCGGGCGGGGGCGGCCGCGGCCGCGGCGACCGATTGTCTATCGGCGTGGGCGCTATCTCCATTCATTACTCCAGCGAACGCACAGTGGCACAGTCATCGTACGCCCCCAAAAACGCAAAACAACCCCAACATACGAATCAATCATGTTCGAAAAGTGCACGCACGCTTGCCGCCCCCATAAAAATTATCCCCTACCCACATTTATTTCTTTCCGCTCATGCTGAAAATTACGTTTTAATATTTCCGCAATTTATTTCGCCGGTAATACGATTTCACCTTTTCTTCGAAGATAAAAGCAATTCCAGCACGAGTTGACTTCTTGCACTTCCCACGGCTGAGAATTTCTACTTTCTTACCATACGACTTCAAAGCCACCGCGCCGCAATCTTTAGGGATTTGTATTCGAGCAATTTTAGAACTTCAGCCTCAAAGGGAGGCGCATTGAAACCAGCAATAAAATTGAGTGGAGCTATTTTTCTTCATCTACGATTATTTATCACATAGGCATCCGAATTCATTCACTGGTAATTTTTTTGTTTGTCAACATGTTTTCTCATTTCATCATCGAACCGAAGATGATTTAGATTTAGGTCGATGGGACAAACAAATTGAATCGAATTGATTTTCGTTGCCAATGGCTTCGAAGTTTGAGTTAAAATTGAAAGAAGCAGAAAGACAGAGTAGCTTGTTGCATTCGCATGACTTTTATTTACACTTTAGTCTTACCGTCTTGTAGAACATGCACGACTGTCGATCTTCATCTTCCGCCGATGGGCAATCAATGAAACCATCGCATAACACGTGATCATCAATGCAATGGTAACGACCTTGACGATCAGGCGTCGGGCACGCGAACCGCTCCATTCCATCTGGCGCTGGTGGGCATTCTATAAACATTAAATATTAACATCAATAAATTTTTCAACTTTTATCATTAAAGCGTCAGTTTCCACAGTTTTAAGACACAAAAAGAGGTTATTTAAACACAAAGGACGAAAAACGTGACTAAAGTTCTTTAGTCACGGGTTTTAGTCACGGGCTAGAGCTAAATGGCTTAAATCGTGACTTTCATTATTAAAGTGTCAGTTTCCACAGTTTTAAGACACAAAAAGTGGTTATTTAAACACAAACGACAAAAAACGTGACTAAAGTACTTTAGTCACGGGTTTTAGTCACGGGGTAGAGCTAAATGGCTTAAATCGTGACTTTCATTATTAAAGCGTCAGTTTCCACAGTTTTAAGATACAAAAAGTAGTTTTTTAAACACAGACGACCAAAAACATGACTAAAGTACTTTAGTCACGGGTTTTAGTCACGGGGTGAAGCTAAATGGCTAAAATTATGACAAAAACTTCTGTTGATGACCTTAATACTTAATATACTGATATCCACACACAATGGTAATATTTTGTGACGCCTTCAAGTGAGGTTAGCGAACTCATGTAAAAGTTTCGCGATAGAAACTTTACAATTTACAATTGTGCATTATACAAATCCCTCGAGAGATATACCTACTTTGGGAATGAGCGCGATTTGCACATCTTCAGACAGACGCTGATGAATAAACAATTCAGACGTAAAAGTTTCACAGACGCAAAAAAATTACACAGGCGAAAAAAAGTCGAAACATTTACTTTTGAAAGAAAATACAAGTGAATTTGTAAAAGGATCGCTCACGTACATTTTCCACGAAATAATTCAATTTTCCTTTCAATACGTGAGCCGTTTACGTGGTCAATGAACAGTTTAACAGTGTCGACAGTTTAACAAGAAATAAAACTGGCTTTTTCTTTTTATTTTATTTCTTTTTTTGGCAAAAATTACTTACATAGTTTTTTAATCTTAAATGATACCGATACTAACTGTCGGTTTAACGGCCGAATAATAGAATAATAAATTCAACCATTGTCGAAATCGACGATAAAACGTATCGTGTATAGTCTGTGGTGGCGACTGCGGCTATTTTTATCCCAAGCGGCTTTGATTTTATTGTGCGCTAATGAAGAGCGAAGACTTGGGCTAGGAAAATGTTTAATATTGGTGAATGCGCCGGGCGTGCTCGGGTAGTGCTCGGGTTTTTTTCGAGAGGGAATATTGTTTCCGTTGCCATTATTTCCATACATCCGCCGGGCAGCGCACTAATAGCCGAAACACTAGTTTCCGACGGTTTTATTCGTGTATTTGCGTAAATCCCGGTAATTTATTTGCAAAAATAATCAAAGTTGATTTTTCACATAAAACGCAACAGATTGAAAACGTAAATATTCAACAATGTGCAAAAATAAACAAGAACATACTTGAATACACTTGAATATCGAAGTAGACGATGTATTTATTTGCGTTTTGATAACTCCCCGAGCATGGAAGCGTGACGGCACGAAGGGCAAAGGAAACTGAGGGCAAAGCAACTGAAATGATTGATCAGGGAGGTTTTATCTTATTGCTTTCATCGCTCGCAGATTGCTTTCAATCGTTCGGGGCCACATTTGTGTGATTTTCGATACTCGAACAATAACGGAATTCAAAAGCAGAAAAAATCTTTTTTTTTATTCATTACTTATTCATTTTTATCATTTTTTTATTTACAATGTTTCAAATTCTAGCAGTGTGTTTGTTTGTGTTAAACGATTCAATTTCGATGCGAATTCATTCAAGTGAAACTTACAACTTTAGTGAAAAGAAGGCGGAGAAGGCATCGATCGCGCAGCGAGCTCCGACAACACGATTAAATTAAATTAATATTGCGAAACATCGCGCAACGAACCAATCATCGAAATGGAACGCCAATGGAGACGCTAAGCGAACGATAAGGGAAATTCCGACGTTTATAATCCGAAGATGAAATGGTCGCCAGTGGACTGCCATTATTATTATTATTGTGGATAATTTCAATAATTTTATTACCCAGCACGCAAAATAATAATTTTTATGCGTCGTTTATTTAAAATTTCAACCCGAAAAGTATTTAGATGGGTAGCAGTTAATTGCGGCCATAAATTTACGCAAATTGGTGTATTAATGGTTCCTAACAACGGACATTACACTATCGCTGGTCTAAGCGGATAAGACGAATCGCCGGCGATCGGAGTGTGATAAGCCTCGATGGTCGATGAACAAGATTGCCGAAATGCGATAAGATGCAAGCGCGAAGCGACTAATTACATGCGCATAGCGTGTGCGGCTTAATTTAAAGCGCGTCCAAGGGGCAGGCTTGAATCAAAGATACATAATTATAATACAGGGTGTGGAAAAATTTTAAAAAAATACCAAAAATATCTTCTAAAAAGAAAAAAACATTTTTTTTTCTTAAAATTTATATAAAATGATTATAAAAAATGTTTTATACAATGAAATGTAAATTTTTTACACTTTGTAGAATAAAAGGATGAGATCGAGGGCAACGCACTCCCCGACACTATTCTGAGAACGCCGGTGGCGGCGGTGGCGGTGGCGACGGCGGCGACGATGGCACGAACACCGGTCGCATACGTTCTGCGTGTGCTACTTTGAACAAAAGTCTAAGCGTGGGCGTTTTTTAGGCCAACCACACTCACACAGAGCGTAGGTTTAAATATTTCTACATCATCGTAAATTTGCTCAAATTTTATCGCGCAGCTTTTAAGTGTTTTGATTGTGAATGCGCACATAGAGTTACTCTATGTATATATATCTATGTATAGATATATTAAAAATCCGCTGAATTCGGCGGAAAAGTTTGCTCAGTGAGCTTCGAGAGCTTTTATTTTCACTATTAAACTCGGTGCACGCTTCCTGTGTGTCGCGCATTCTCATCCTTTTCCTTCTGCACAGCTTTTGCTTTGCTAAACGTCGTAACTTTGTTGCGCGCTGAATTTGCACCGTTAGATTTATAAAAGGTAAACATGGGCATGAATCGTCAGCGCTGTACCTATTTTTACAGCAAACATTAAAAATATTCTTTATTTTTAAGCGGGAAAATGGGATTTTTAGTGGTAAAAAATATTGTTTTACGCATTTACAAAATTTTTAATAAAATTTTACTTATTTTGGGCAAAAAAACATTGAAAAGATATTTTTTGGTGTTTAAAAGATCATTTTACGCACTTAATATAAAAATTTTAAGTTAAAAATAATTTTTTTGATTCTCATTTGAATTTTTGGTTTATTTTGATGAAAAAAACATTGAAAAATGTAAATTTTAGTAATTTTTAGTTTTCAATAAAATTTTACTTATTTTGGGCAAAAAAACATTGAACATGTAATTTTTCGTGTTTAAAATATCATTTTACGCACTTAACTAAAAAATTAAAAGATAAAAATAATTTTTTTGGTTTCTCATTTAAATTTTTTGTTTATTTTGGTGAAAAACAGTGAAAAATGTAATTTTTTGTGTGAAAAATAAATTTTTTTGCACTTAATATTAAAATGAAAGGCTTATTAGTGTGCAAAAGTGGTATTTTATGCACTTAACACAAAAAATGTAAGATTTGGGTATTATTTGGCCAGTACCACCAGGTCCTGGGAATTTTAACTATGCGAAGCAGAGGGTGAAGCGAAGAACGTTTTACGTTCGTGTAAAGCCTGCACCATTCGTCAAGTTCTAAAAATAGCCCACAACGTTCTAAAATATAAATTTCCCACCCACAATTGTATAAAACTAGATTTTCTCCTACGTATTCCATCTAAACACTCTGCATTCTCTACAACATATATTGTCATCGAATCAATAGTTTGTTTATAAGATGTAAAAACAAGCAACGAAAACGAGAGCAGGAAAAAAACCTGCTGACTTTTTCGACTTTACGTGCCTCGTATAACTAATTTCGGCGCTTTATGCGCGCGCGGGTATAAGTTACGAAAATTACTGTTATGAGGATTTATCGAAGGAAAATCTAAGCCTCTTACGTGCGCACGTACATCGCGCGCGCGAGCGTTTTTGACCGCCGTGGGAAACAGAAGAGAAAAAAAAAAGCAGTGAGCTGCTCACGAAAAAGAAAGAAAATTAGTTCTGTCTTGCGCGCGCGGGAGCGCTACTCGAAGCCCCTCTCGAAAGGCGAATGACGCGTGACCGAAATTGTTAATTTCGGCCTCGTCCCGCGCGCGCCCGGCGCCTTCGCCACCGAAACCAAACCAACGAGGGGCTAAAAATAGCCTCGCACGTTTTCGGCACCGCGCGCTTACATTCACACCAAAAACTTTACGACGTTAACACTCTTTACGTAAGTTTTTCATTGAGAACTTTGCCACACAGGGAAATCCACAGCAAAAATTGCGTTTTTTTGCCAAGAATTCCCAGAAAAAACATTGAAATTCAGCAAATTTTTATTATTTTATAAATTTGATTAAAAATTGTTAAATTTAATAATTTTTGCTATAAATTAATCAAAAAATAAATAATAAATCGAAAATTTTCACATTTTGTAAAATACGTTTCCATATTTGATAAATATGGATTTATTTACTGTGAGATTTGGTTTTTGAAAGCGTGGCAACCAAAAGCAAGCGACAGAGCGCGGCAGGAGAGAGTCAAGTTGTCGAAGGACTGGTTTTACGTCACCGGCGCCTGGTAGCGCAGCGCCGACGTGCAAAGTACGCGCCCACGCGTTCCACACCGCCATCGCCGCCGCCGCTGCCGCTGGCCGCCCAGCGGCAGATCAATACGCCACATCGATGCGCATCCCCCGAACGACACACACGCGGGCCACGCCGGCCGGCAACTCATTCACAAACATCCTCAAAATGCGCGCCGCGCAAAAAAAAAAACGCATAACAAATTTTTATTACAAACTTCCTTCTCGTCCACCACCATCGCCAGCAAAAACCGCACACAGATTGTATTTAAAAATAACCCCCAAAGTCTAATCTGCTATGGCGTGCGGCGTATATAAATATATAGGTGTATATATTG